TATATATAATAAAAATGTATACAATTGGGGGAATGTCACATTAGAACACAGCAGCGTTGCTCCCTTGCTTGGCTTAATGCTGCAGAATATGGCAGAGCAGCGACAGATGAGACTTCTCTGGTTCTTCAATAGAAGGAGTGACACAATAGGAGCAGTTTAGAGCTCCCTCGGCTCTTTTTGTGATTGTTAGTGTGACACTGCCATTAACCCTCCCCCAACCTGTACAGTTTCCCTCTAATGATCCTGGGCCCCCAGATCGGTCGCCATTGTTGAACATACAGGTGAAACTCGAATAATTAGAATATCGTGCAAAAGTAATTGCAGTAAGTGCTGCAAAAGGGGCCCAAACCAAGTACTGAGTACATATGCATGCTTGTACTTTTCAGAGGTGCGATATTGTTCTATGTACAATCCTTGTTTTATTGATTGCATGTCATAATCTACTTTTTTGAGGTTGTGGATTTGGGGTTCTTGGGGTTTTCATGAGCTGTAAGCCATAATCATCACAATGATGACAAATCACGGCTTGAATTATCTCGCTTTGCAGGTAATGAGTCTCTCTCATATATTAGTTTCACCGCATAAGTTGCATTAGTGAAATAAATGAACTTTGCACGATATTCTAATTATTCGAGTTTCACCTGTATATTTACTATAGGCAACACCATCTTTTCTTTCAGTTTTTAAGATTCCTGATTCATGGTAAATATATCCATGGCTGTTTCTCACAGAAATTGTTCATCTGGTTCACTTCTTCATGTATTCTAATGTGATGATTAACCGTAAAAAACCCAGAATGTAAACATATAATGTATCGATTGTAATGGTAGTCATAGATAACAGGGGTGCTAGTTAGAATATACAATAGAAAAATGATTGATAAGGTGTTTAAGACTTACTTTATGATCCACAAGCATCAAAGTGCCAGGAGGGGTGTAATAAAAGATTTATGTGGCATAAGTTCTTGGATTCTTCCTCCATCTAAATAAAAAAAAAGACTGCTCAGTGGTAGTAATCACAGTTGCCCCCCTACACCACCTGTACTTGAGTCCAACCGCAGTCCAAAGCCATCAAGAAGCACCCTTTAATTCTCACAAAATGACAGGAAAGCAGGTTTAGACTGTCAGCGTACCCACGTACCTAATTCACAGTGCACGGAACTCCCTCAGTATGTCTAAAGGTGCCCATACACTGCACGATTCTGAAACGAGAATCGCGGGTCAATCCCGCGATCGTAGGAGAATCGAGCAGTGTGAATGAAGACGTGCGACCGTTTCTACTGTACGGTCGCACGTCTTTTGTCTAAGGAGCACGCTTTACAGCAGAGTCATTCATTATCTGCCCAATGTAACCTTCCTGCCTCCGGGGGCAACAAGGTGTTCACGGTTAGAATTTCATACGAAATGTTCATACCAAAAGCTGGTCAGAACATTCAATAATGCCATCAGAGACTTGACTGACGTTGTTTGAAAATTGCACTTGATAATAACATTTGATTTTGGAATGAATGGAGAATTCACTGTTTGGTGGAACGTTCGTTCAATTTTCTAATAGTTAATGTTAAAGGAGAACTATGGGGTTAAGGCTTTTCCCATTAGTTCTCCTTAGGGTAACGGGAGGACACAAACTAGCGTCCTTCCGTCACCCAAAACTCAGTATATAGAGAGCTACTGCTCGCGGTAAACTAAGACGCCGCAGCTGAATCGGATCCCGACAATTGTGCCGGGATCCGCCCAGCTGCGTTGACTGACAGCTGGCGCTGCCTATCTAGAGGCAGAGCCAGCTGTACCCGCCTCCTCAGCCTCAGTCAGCGCTGGCGGATCGGAGCGGGGAGGGGGGAATCCAGCCCCTTCCCTGTCACGGCAGAGAGCCGTGACAGGATCGAGAGGTGAGCGAGCGCCGGTATGTGTTCGCTCACCTCCCGATCTACTGAGCCGACCTGTGACAGTCTCATTGTCACAGGTCGGCTAGAACTATGAGGTGAATGAAAAGCACTCGCCTCATAGTTCTCCTTTAATGAACTTCATTAACATTAACTATTAGAAAATTGAACCAACGTTCCACCAACTATCATTTTCGAATGAAATTCTAAGTATGAATACCCAGGTCAAGGTAACGCGGCCTCGATGACTGAGAGCGTAACTAAAAATCAGTAACGGGGATGTACCCGACCCCCAAACAGACCAGCTTGACATGCCTGCTCTAAGGAGTTGCCTCCTTCTCCGCTGCTGGGAGACAAAATGTGACGGGTTTTTTTTTTCTTATATAAAAAAGCTGTGATATCCAATATCTCGTTAACATGATCTAGAATGACATGCCTTTAATCTAGTGTTGTTAATTGGCAGCACTGTGTGGGATCAGATCGGCCACACGGAAGTGATGGGTGGGTGAACTCTACTAGTGAACGTGGCGTTTCCCTCATCCTGGCTGCACACCAGTCCAGTACACAAGTCCGCGGGAGGCGCGCACGATGCGGCGTGAATTCCGAGAGGTGTTATAAATAAAAGGACGCTAATTGACGATAATGGTCAGTGCGGCAGAGAGTTCATTCTCCTCTGAATTATATACAGCTCTGGTAATCCCCGGTTGCAGCTACAAAGATTTCCTTTATGACTGTCACTTAATGGAGGGATCTGCTCCGCGTCTCGTTCTAAAGGCCGATTTTCGAGAAAAACGCGTCTTTTGAACTAATCTTCCAACCCTTGTGATGGACGGTATCCCGGCCCTCAGAGCCACAAACTTGTCAAAACAGAGAGCTGCTGCGGTGACTAAAGGGCCTAATCCGCTCATATGTTAAGCCGAGTGTCCCGCATCAGACATTCAGCGCAACTCCCACAACCAGATCTTACGTCTGTAGCGCGCACGCATTAAAACACGAAACATAATTGTCTTTAAATAGCGGGAAGGGTGTAGTCCAGTAATGGTGGAAAATCTGCTATTACTATTGTGGATTTCTTTTACATGAAAAAAAATTTCACACGGCATTTCCATATAATACGGCCGCGCAGGCCCCCCCCCCCCCTCGGATCTGGCTGCGTGCTTCAGCAGCGATCACATGGCCCTCTTTCTTTCGCACCCTCGCTCTTTTCTCTTCGGGAAATCGCTCTGCTTATAATAAGCATTTAAAATGAGGCTTGCTGGGCTGCGGGAGGGGGAACTGCAAGGGATGTTAAATACTACAAAATTAGAAAAAAGAAACTGATGCAAATCATTGGTAAAGAGAAAATTATGTGCAATTACCCCGCGATATTGGGCAGCTCGGCCCACCCTCGACCAACAAGATCTCATTAACAAGCAGAAAATAAGATTGAAATGGTGTGTAAAAGAGCTGAAAAATGAATTTCAATGCCGCATTTGTCCACAATTACCCCCTCGTTCACACATATTTTATTGCAATTTTTTTTATTCTTCTTAATCTTTCCATCCCTCAAAGCAGATTGGCGACATCCTGGCATTACAGAGGCTGAGGGAGCGAGCATTAAGGATTTTCTCCTCTCTGAAAGTGAGTCCTGCTCCCTGCTCCTCGCCGGCTGCTGTGCGAGGATAACAGAGCGGCTCAGCCAGAGATGATAGGGCAGCCGGGTGTTACTGGGCTGCCGGGAAGGGCCCCTGATTGGTCAGAGGATGATAAGAGTGGGGACACGGCATCTTCTCCCCCTGTAATGGACAGATCTTACCCTACCCAGCCATCGTTAAGCAGGCATGCGGAGTGCAATGGGTTAAGTAGTTTTCATTTTGCTGTGCACCAGTAAACACATCACCGCTGCAGAATAACTGGCTCCAGTTCCAATAT